CCGGAAAGTCCACTTCCACTTACCATCATTTCCTTATAAGAAAAAGGATGGGAAGGGAAAGAAGACTAAATTAGGCCTCCGGGACGCACACTCATCAGACTGTACGCGGAATTGCTTCAACTTGACGCATGTCTTCTGTATAGTCGTGGTATTTCACCGGGCGAGCCGGGACAATTCGTGCTATGTTAAAGCTCGCTCTACCACTGTTAAATTAAAAAGTAGAATCAGATAATTGCTTACTAAAAAATATAATCGACCATAAAATTATATACGATTTATTTACATTGAACACGTTGAGTTTTTTTCACAAAGAAATCAATAGAATCACATTATAAATTACAAAATAAGTTTCCAAAAAATCTTATTAAGATTGCTATCGTATTTTATTAAGATTAAAATTCTAATAAAAACCAACATTAAAATTTAGACATAAAATTACTATTAAGATAAGATAAATCCATATAATAAGATAAAGGCAGATTTTTTAAATATCCTGTATAAAGACGACGGAAAATATATGGATGGAAAGAGCGTTTGGATTATGATGAATAGACTTATTAGAAATAAAGAGAAAAGCACGCACTGTTACAAGAATATATTTACAACTGATGGTTTTAAATATAGAGAAAAAGGAAGAAAAAACATATAAAGTTCTTAATTCAAAAATATAACAATTATGAATAAAAACGTGTAAAAAGTTCCGTATCAACTACTAAAAATAACTAGTAATAAAAATCAGACTTTGGTAGGCCTTTTTTTATTTTTTATTCAAACAATGTTTCTCATTTCGATCTAAAGCCGATATTACGTAAACAGTAAAACGTCAAATTGTGTAAAATATGTAAGACTGGCTGTCACCAGCGACTCCGTCTGCGCGGAATTTAAAAAAAAACTTAATAAGTAGCCTATGTTGTCTTCCAGACTATGTACTACATCTGTGCTAAATATCAGCGACATCTATTGAGCCGTTCCGGAGATACCTTCAAACAAACATCTATCCATCTAAACATTCGCATTCGTAGTAGTAAGTTAGTACAAAGCTTTTATTAAGGTTCATCTCACTTAAGTTTCATCACACCCGATTTTTCTCATCAAATCTTGCAAATTAAAAGCCTACTTCATTATAATGACTTGGTCATCTTATGATGAAATTAGAAGGTCATAGAAACTTCGCAATTTAATAATGATAGGAGTTTTTTCCTCTACAACTTAGGTAATGACTTACATTTATACGAGATTTACGTCTTTAGGTTTTTTTTACGAATGAAGGTGGCAATTTGTTGCAAAGTTACCCCTATATAGATATGTCGTAACAAATTAAAAACAGAAAATAACGCTTACCTTTAGCCCTTACTGTACCCAGAGATGAAGCCATAGAAATATATTTCCCTTTCCTGTGCGTCTCCTCTGCCGTCAATTTCACCTTAGCTTAGTAAAAATAGGTTAAGAAAATCATGATGGGTGTTCTTGTTGACTCGTAGTCAAAGTACGACGATGCATTAATAGTAAGTTGACACATTTACAGATGGTACTTAGTCTAACGCTCGTTTAACACGTTAAGAGACATAATAGAAATAGAAAAAATCACAAAAAAAAAATGATGGAAATAGATGCGTAATATCGAATCTTTAAAATATGTCTAGTTTAGGTTTGAATCAGAAGCTGGGTTTCGGAGATATAGTAAAAAAAATCATGAGGTTACAATTGCCCAACACAGCGCTTAAATATTTACAAGCCGGGATACAGTTACCGGTGACTGGAGTGGCGTTTAACGTGTTAAGAGTAACTAAACTCGTAGGCTCCTTCAGGAATATCGGCTCCATTACTTCGTTATTCTACTATGAATATACAAAGACGAAAGTATTTTTTTTATTTAATCTGTTAAGCTTATCGCGGCTACTTTCGCGTATTATCTTAATTATTTATCTTGAATTAGGTTAATGATTATGTTAATAAAGCCCTCTGAGTTAGGTTATTTAAAAAAAATGTATCACTGTATTACATGTATCGAAGATCGACGTTCATATCACTTTTATTTCTACTTTATTCAATGCCTAAAACAGGTTAGATAGTATTTGAATAATGAGGAAGTTAAATCCAATCAATTTGTCAATGATATTATGGTCTTCGTTGATATCACTGACTGCTCTTTGACAGGTGACAGTTCTTCTTAATTATTTATTCACCTCTGTATATCTTTTAATCTATGTATAGATAATTTCTGACAGGCCGTCGGATTTCCTACGGGTCGGTCGTAAATTGTACAAGTTATGCCTCCGTTGAAATTATCTTAAAGATAAAATTCGATTCAATCAAACTATAATATCTCTTCGACTAGAAAGAATATTTGCGACAGGCGCCTTCGTGTCATTAATTATGTCAAAACTAACTGTCGCCTTCAACTTTTCGGGCGGAATTAAAAAATAAGTGTTCTTCCAGACTATGTTCAATATATATTCCATAGTTCATCAAGTTACATGCAGCCATTCTGAAGATACATTCTAATAAACACCCATCCATGTTTATCTTCGCATTTATAATATTAGTAAGATTAATATTTAAGATTTTTGGTGTGCTTTTTGTCGATGACGCTAAGATGGCGCTTGTTGTAAATATTCCAGGACTTCTGAATTAAAAAAACGCGATTTTTTTAATTAATTTTATTTTCAACTATTCAATTTGTCTTTGATAGTTTCTTGGAAACACGAGTAGTGATGCGAATAAAGATTAAATCAAGTCGTTTTAAATGTCGAATATTCGAATTTATTATGAATTTACGGCCGAATTTAATAATTGATGCTTACAGATAACAATTTTAATTAATCTTATTTCAAAAGGAATGAAAAGGTAAAAAAGGTAAAATAAATATGAAGCACTTAATAATCTTTTGAATTAAAGGGCTGAAAGCTTACCTACCTTAGGAAAACATCGTGATGCTGCACATATCTGAGAAGAAATTCAAAGATATGTGTGAAGTCAACTAACCCGCGCTTGGTCAGCGTGGTTGACTAACTTAAACACCCTTAACTTAGGGTAGGCTCCGAGTCCCTCGGTGGGGATGGATAGTGAGCTGATGATGATGATGATAATGCAGCTTACCTAGTCGATAAATAAACCATTGGTCTGATTAAGTCAGAAATAGACAGAATTGAGACATGAACTTTTTTGTATTTGGTCTTGCAATATTTTTACATCTGTGTCGCCATCTATATTCATTAGTATAAAACTGCGACTTCTTACATTTACTTTTCAAAGATATGACATAGATGGCGCTGTATCATATTTTTTATTGAAAACTTTGACCTATATTATATGGCTATTTTATTTTCCGTTTTTTATTTTACAGGATTTAAAGCTTGTTTTACTATCTTACTAATATTATAATTACGTATGTTTGAAGGTATCTCTGGAACACCTCAACGGATCACGCTGAAATTTGTCATAGATGTAGAACATAGTCTGGAAGAACACATAAGGTACTTATTAAGTTTTTTTTTTATTCAAAGCGGACGGAGTCGCGGGCGACAGCTAGTACCACAAAGTGCTGGATAACTACCAGATAAATTAACTGCCCACAATACTTTGTCAAAATAGTTTGTATTTTACAAATTATTTAGATTTTGAAACTCTAACGACTTTATTTGATAAAAAGTAACCAAAGTAGCTTAATTGGAGTTTAAATGAACATTTGAAACATGCTCTTGGTTGTTTTTTGAGACAAAAATTTCTGTATAAAACGTGATCCCTGTCATTTGACACAACAGATAATATGTTTTAAACAGAATTTTTTTTATCTCAGAAACCCACGTTTACTAAATAAAACTACAAATAAAACAATCTAGTTCAGTAACCGACCATTTATTTTCTATATTACAGGAAGAAATTAAAAAAAAATGCCTCCATTTTAAAACATACATTTGCTAGATACATGTGAGCCTAGAAATTGTAGTAAAATGAGTTCTCTGCTTTGCACATAAAGTTCAATATTGCTTGTCATATATCATGTTTAATATTCTCCATACATTCATTTTACACTTTTTTATCATACTAATATTATAAATGCGAATGTTTGAATATATCTCCAAAACGGCTCAAGATATCTTGATGAAATTTGGACATACATATAGAACATGGTCTGGAAGAACACATGGGCTGAAAAGTTTTTTTTTAGTATCCGTGCGGACTTAGCCGCGAGCGACAGCTAGTCAATAATAAAAAACTTCTTTTTTTAAATTCTAGGTCGAATTTCGATCAATGTCAGACCACAAATAAAGGCGTTATTTATCTAATAATTTAGAAAATAATATTGTGAATGTTAAATATTGCAAATATTTATATTCCACTAACAATGGGTTTCTGAGACCAAAATATTTGTTTAAAACATATTCTCAGTTTTATTAAATATAAAGACGGGGATGTTTTATACAGAGATTTGGATCTTAGAAACCTACGCTAAATAAGTTTTATATACGAAATTTTTAATCTATTATACTAATTATAGTAAAAAGATTTCTCTTTTGAATCGATATTACTCGATTTATATATATGAATAAAATTGGATTGTCTGTATGTATGACATATATTTCGTACAAATATTTGCGATACTTTAAAAAAAACAATTTATTTCTTGTCTGTCTGCAAGTTTGCGTTTGTTCATGTTATCAAAACGGACCTATTTTGACTACTTTTACTGGATAGTAAAAAATATTTCCAAGAATAACATAGGATTTTTTTACTCCAAGTTTTTAAAATCTCGGGCTTTAATTAATAATACCAATATTTATTAAATATTTTAATTATCTTATGGTAATTTTATATTGCCTAGCGTACAATAGTTTTTCATTTTCAAAGTTTTTCTTTTTTATTCAACCCTTTAGGGGGCGTCCATAAATTACGTGAGGTGTTTAAGGGGGTGGGGGGGTCGAGTCAAATCTCATCTCGGCAAATATCACGCAATTTTTTCTGATCGAAACAAATGTAAATAAAAGCACGAAGCATTTTTTTCACAATAACGATCCAACGCGTTTACGTAACTCACATTTTGAAAAATCTCACATGACATTGGTGGATGAGGGAGGGGGTTGAATAAAATCTCACGACATCTCACCAGGGGGGAGTGAGGGGCAGAAAATTAAATAAAAACACCTCACGTAATTCACGGACGCCCCCTTACATTGACCTACAAAACATAAGTTCTCTTTCTGACATTTTTTTTTAATATTAAATAAAATTTTACAATCAAATATAATTTTTATGCTAGACATTTTTAGTGTTGACAACAAAAAATTCTTGATACTTTTGTGCTCATAAATTTGTTTTTTTTTATTGTATGTTGTTACAAAATTATCTAATTTAATCCAAAAACACGACATATGACATAGCTCCCGATCAACAATGTAACAGCGACTGAGATATTTTTTTTATTTGAGCCATAAATTACTCATATCTCAGGAAATACATTAAAAAATTAAAAAAAAAACTATGGCTTTTTCTCGAATAACTTGTATAAATACATTTTAAAATCTCCAATACTTTGGAAAAAAAATTAGCGAAATTTCACAGTTAACAAGTACCAAGATTTATTAATCGAATTATACAATATCAAAGTATCAAAATCGATTTTACCAATACTATAATTTATTATCAATTTATGATTAAACCACAAATATAAAGTATTTAAAGAGTATCACAAATTGTAATTTAAGTATTGCAAATTGCAATTTGTGATTTAAGTATTACAAATTGCAATTTGTCACTCAGTATTATAAATTGCAATTCACACAAATCAAGTCGCTGTTACGTAAAGGCACATACATGTTTGTTCGCTTGTTTAATAGTCGTCGACGTCATAAAGGTTGTCGATTTCTTCATCATCAAGCTGCATCGATTGGAAGTCCACTTTGTAACGAAGGAGACCTGTAAAATAATTTAGACATTATTTCAAAAATGCAATAGAATTCAAATTTATATAATTACAAATATATGAAATTGAATTTGATGTTAATAATTTTATTTGACAATAAATGCCTGATTTATTTTATGCCAGTACAGTAGGATGATAGCACTGGCCTGGGTACTGTTTTGGGTCAGTGTAAGTGGCCTATACTGGCATAATGTAACCCCTTACTTAAAATTATATTAACAACTATAGCAGATCTTTTTCTTAGAATAAACAACAAAAAATCTTAAACTATTGAAGTAAAAAAAAGAAAATTCACTCTGAAAGCATGCATAAAAAATCATCGATAAAACATACATAAGAAAAAAAACGTAATTTAATATTTTTTTATAGATAAACCGAGTTTTCTTTGACTTAATCCATGCGTTATTATTCCAATTAACTATGGCTTTCGATCTTTGAACAAAACAGAAATAAGACAAGTATCACATAATGTTTCAATAAATTATAAAACTACAAAACCCACTGACCTATTTACATGGACAGGCTACGAGTCATAGTATTTTGTGCCATTTTGACTATGACTCAAATACAATTTTACATTACAGCTAAATAAAAGTTGTAATTTCCTGTCCATATCAAAAAAGGTCAGTGACAAAACAAAAAAAATACATCAAAAAAAACCAATGATTTTTACCTCGTTCCAAATATAATTGCGTGTAAAGAAATGACATATATTTAGTAAGACACAGAATAAAACAATTCACATACAAATTATCACCCAACTTACCAAAAAATATCTCTTGATATATTTAAAATGAAGACGTAATTAACTTATAAAAACTAAAATTTAGACCCTTAAAACAGCTTTAGACATATTTGTAGGATTTTTAATTGGGTTATTATATTCGTAAGCGCACCGTCTTCGCCGCGACGTACACGCGTAGTCAACCCGTACAAAAAGAATGACACGTTTAGTAAACTTTATCACTCTTTCGCACTCGACTTGAGACGCGCAATCGTATGGAAAAGACGATGCTAAAGGTTAGATAGTCAAACAAGGATATCTAAATCTAAAGAGGCGTTGCTATCACGTTTCCGATACTAAAATCTCTGTTTAAAACATGTCGTTATCTCTGTTTAAGACGAAAGGCAGAGATGACGTTATATTTTACAGAGGTTTTCATCTTAGAAACCCACGGTTAGATACAGAAAAGGAGACAAAAGAGACATGATAGCTGCAGTACAAATGGGATGGTAACATTTTTGACATTGAGAGGGGCGCTAGTGAGCTGTCGTAAGCCTTATGCAAACCGGTTCAGACATCCTTATCGGACTATAAGTTACGGTTGGTTTCTGAGATCCAAAAATCTCATCCATGTCTTTGACAAAAAAGAGATATAAACATGTTGCAAACGGGTATTTTGGTCTCGGAAACCCATAGTAAATGTCAATGACATTCAAGGTTAAAAGTTAACATTTAGTTTTAAAATAAATCACACAATTATTCAATATAAGAACATTTTATGTAGAATAACTATATGAAGTCGGGAATAACCAATAAACATTTTTTTTATATATTTTTCATATGTATATTGTAATATGAGAAAAGCATACATTAATTCCATATCAGAAAACCCGCAAAAACCTTATTACTATCACATCTTATAAATATTTTTATTCGTTTCAAACTTAAAACTATACTATTTTAATATTTAATTACTAATAAAAAACATCTTTACACTCAAAATTAATAATTAACGGCACACCAAAAAAAAAACATCAAAACCTACTTTAGTAAAATTTGGTTATCAAATTATAGAATCTGGCAACACTTTTGATAAAGCTGGTAATACACCACAGTGCAATGTATGCTTCTCCATTACACTAGCTTATCGGATATGAATGATCATTTTGGATATACATTGTCGTACCTGGATAAGCGAGAAACCTCTTTAAGCGAGAGTTATTATCAGGTGCCAACAGACAACTTTCATATGCGAGAAACTCGGGTTAGAGATACCTCTATTAGCGAGAAACTTAGGTAAGAGAGAAGCCTCAATTAGCGAGAAACTTAGGTAAGAGAGAAGCCTTTATAAGCGAGAAACTCGGGTTAGAGAGAAACCTTTACAAGCGAGAAAAATATCGCTGTTCCTTGGACTCTCGCTTATCCAGGTTCAACTGTTCTGTGCCTAGAAATATAATATGTGAAGATATTACTATCAAATAGATAAACAAAAAAATAAATAGATTGAATGTGAATAGCTATAAAAGTAATTGGAGAAAGTACCTATGGATTGTGTGAAGGAGGATGTGTGTACTGAAGGAAATGTATGGAAGAGTACTGTGCCGATAATATGTAGGGAAAAGAGCAGGCTGTTGACACAGTTAAGGTCGTTAATTTCCTATCCATTCAAGTAATTTGATGTTCAACAATAATCGCCATCTTACAAATGTTAAATGAGAATGTTTGGATATATGGATGGATGGATGTAGATCATAGTCTGGAAGAACACATAGGCTACTTATGAAGTTTTTTTAATGGCACGCGGATGAAGTCGAGAGAAGGCAACAGCATTGCAACATCTATACATATAAAAGAAAGTCGTGTTAGTTACTCTATTTATAACTCAAGAAGGGCTTTACCGATATGGTTGAAAATTGGTGAAGAGGTAGCTTAGAGCCAGGAGACGGATATAGGATACTATTTATTCATTTTTTTTTAGAATTTATGCCTAATTTATATAAGCGAATGTTTAGATGGATGTGATGTGGATGGATGGATGGATGGGTGTTTGAAGATATCTCTAGAACGGCTGAACGGATCTCGATTTAGATTTTCGTTATGTACCTCACAATAAAACTTCGAAGACGGTTACGAAGACGTTAGACGTTAGACGAAAAGTGGTTATTTTTCACATATATATTTCTAGGCACAAACGTCATATAGCATGTAGTTTTATATATTAAAAATTGCCTCCATTCAAGTCGATTCAAAGTATCTGGATAGGCTTTAAATACGAATTTAACTTGTACAGTGTAATTTATAAGTAATTTAGTCTAAGCTATTACTAATTTGGACCTTTATATGGCACCCTAATTATGTAATATGTTTAAACACCATAGATATAAAACCTATAGATACATAATCTGAACCATCATCATCAGCTCACTATAAGTCCCAACTGAGAGGCTCGGAGCCTACCCTAAGGTAGGTAACTAGGCCATAGTCAATACTGACCCAGTGCAGTGACTTCACACATATCTTTGAATTTCTTCTCAGATATGTGCAGCATAACAATTTTTTCTTTCACCGTAACATAAGATAAATGTACATATTGAAAAACACATTGGTACATGGCGGGATTCAACCCAGGCTTGCAGATTACAAGTACGTAACCCCTGAGCCACTGACGTACTTTAATATTGTTATTGACTTCACTAATGACATATCCAGTATCTCTATGTTACGTCCAACTTGTAACACTCATCTATAGATTATATATCTATGGTTTGGCATATTCCTAGATATATTTCTTATGTTTAGTAATCGTCAAAGCTTCATGTTTATATTGGTTAGAAATACGGTATTCAAATACGTAAGAACTGACGCCATATTGTCACATCATGGTAAATCATAAAATCGGTAGGCAGATAAAATTGATACGAAATTTTAATTGAAATTATTAGAGTTAATACTAAGAGTTTTATACTTGAAAAACAAAACAGTATATTAAGTTTAATAATTATTTGATTATAGTCAATAAGACAAAGAAATATAATAGAAATAAAACAAAGACTAATTTTTAAAACACAGACGTAACTGGATAAGCGAGAAACCTTTATAAGCGAGAGTCATCGTCCGACGGACACCCTCCACAAGCGAGAAACCCCTATAAGAGAGTCATCGTTTGTTCTGACAGACAACCTCCATAAGCGAGAAACTTCTATAAGCGAGAGTCATTGTCCGACGGACAACCTCCATAAGCGAGAAACTCGTGTAAGATATATCTCTATAAGCGAGATATCGCGGTGCTTTCGATTCTCGCGTATCCAGGTACAACTCTATTTGACAATCCCGCAAGTCCGTGTTTGTTCCGCATTCAGTTAAACGGTTTATCAATTTTGACGGAACTTTTAATAGAAAATAACTTATGTATTTACTGTTAGTAAAATCCGACACAGTGCCGGTGTGTCGCAACACTAGCCTTATTAAAATGTCAACGTTTATGTCCCCTCACTAATCAATCTGACACTTGATAACGAAAGCGCGCCATTCGCGCCAAAGGAATCTAACTAATAATGTCTAAAATTACTTAGGCATTTTTTAATTCCACGCTGAAAAAGTTGCGGGTAATAAGTAGACGATATTTAAGGAACTTTAATGCATATATCAAAAGTCAAATGCTTAATATATTTGAACCGCTCTAGCGGTTTATGATATCATTTTCTGTCTCTCAACAAGAAATCACTGTAGCTAGCTTTACTAATTTTTGGTATTTAAATTTATCCATACATTAAAATTAAAGTAATGATAAAGTTATTTAATTTCTCACTAAGTAACGAATCACATATTCACTGTAGTCGAAACCCCACTTGATTTGAACCCACGAAGAATAGATATAGCCCGTTTATTACGTGTTTTTGGCAATTAACCGTGAAAATAATTTAAAACTTTGTTAACTAAGCATATCACTGTTTCGTGTCGATATATCAAGGATTCCACGCATTTTTACTCACTGACAAGACATGGTAAAAGCAGAGTTAATCTGTGCCTATTTGAAAATCGCCATTTTGGAGCAGTGTAGTTGTAGCGGTGTTGGAAATTAAAACTAGTAATATGAAATTAACCGACAGTTACTTTAACCAGCACATATAACACGAAACGAAGCAAAAACTATAATTTTCAAGAACCTATATAATAGAAAAAGGTAGAAAATGAGTTAGTGGCCACAAAAATTCGACATTTGCAGATGCGTTGCCTGCCATTAATGGAAAGAGGGGACGCACGAAAAGAGGGTTAATCACTTTTCTATACGTCCTTTCCTCTGCCACATCCACCTTCCCTTCCCATCCCTTCCTTAAAAGATTGGGAAGGGAAAGAGGACTAAAATTAGGCCTCCGGCACACACTCATCAGTCTGTACACGGAATGACTTCCACTTGACGCCTGTCGTCTGTCTAATCTATCCAGATTTATTCTAGAGGTTTAAATATAAAAAGAAAGCTCTACCTAACATCATTTCTTATTCTCACGCTTATAAGTTCGGATAGCACCTAGATTACTATGGATAGCATAAACTAGCTTCACTAAAGACTCAAATATATCGACTTGAATGGAGTACAAAGTACAATTTCATAAGGCTATACTATTGCTCAAGGCATTTTCGGTTCAAAAGGAAAGCTTGTATAGTTACATACAAACTTTATGAAGGCTCTGAATATCGCACTTTTTTGTCTCTTGACCTCGCAACAACACTGCGCATTTTACTACTAAACGGCCTGTACTTAACCTCGAGCGTTCATAAAGTTTGAATCATGTTATACATACAGTCGAATCTAGAGAGCGAGAAACTTCTATAAGTGAGAATCATTGTCCGATCTCGATCGACGACCTCTATAAGCGAGAAACTCTGGTTAAAAACCTTTTTAAGCGAGAAAAATATCGCGGTCGTAATCTCGCTAGTCCAGATTCGACTGTATTTACATATTAAGCAAGAATAAAAGACAAGATTATAGAAAATTAAATGAAATCAAACTAGTAAAGTTATTTGTGGGGAAAATTTACAGTAAAAACCGTTTAATACAACATACAACGGATTCTATTTCTTTTAAATTATATTTATACGCAAAGTCGCTTATAACGACATACCCTTATTACGACCATTTTTAATGAATATTTTTGGAAAATCTTATTAATTATAACGACTAACACTTTTTTGCTTTTGTATTCTGAACCTTTAATTACAATCGGCTTGCCATTTTCCCTACGTAGTGTCATATCTGAATACACTTCCATATTTTTTCTTGTGCTTCGTTTTTGCTTCTCAATAAATCACCGATGTCATTCAAATTTCCTACAATATACAGTCGACCCTGGATAAAAACCCTCTATGAGCGACAGACACTGTCCGATCCCGACGGACAAACTCCATAAGTGAGAAACTCGGGTTAGAAAGAAACCTCTTTTAACGAGAGTCATTGTCCGGTCCCGAAGGGCGACCTCCATAAGCGAGAAACTCAAGTTAGAGAGAAACCTCTATAAGCGAGAGTCATTGTAAAATCCGACGGACAAACTCTCTATATGTGAGAAACTCGGGTTAGAAAGAAACCTCTTTAAACGAGAGTCAGTGTTCGGTCCCAAAGGGCGATCTCCATAAGCGAGAAACTTAGGTTAGAGAGAAACCTCTATAAGCGAGAGTCATTGTAAAATCCGACGGACAAACTCTATATGTGAGAAACTCGGGTTTGAAAGAAATCTATTTAAACAAGTCATGGTCCGGTCCCAAAGGACGACCTTCATTAGCGAGAAACCTTTATAAGCGAGAATTACTGGTCGGATCCGACGGACTCCATAAGTGAGTAACACGGGTTATAATGAAACTTCTATAAGCGAGGTAAAATCCCTTGGACTCTCCCTGGATAAATATCCAGGTTCGACTTTACTTCATTGGCCAATCGGTTATTGCGACTGCTTAACACCGGATGTTCTAACGTCGTTGTAAACGGTTTTCACTGTTCAATGTGGGGTGTAAGGTTTGGATCGCAACAGTCGGTTTAGTAATTCGTCGTTTCCAATCTACGTTTTATTTCGCTTGGTGATTTTTTTTTTCAATTTCACAACATCAAAATAATGATATGTATTCGAATGTGAAATCATTTTAAATGTTTAAAAAATTTACATTTAAAAAAGCTCAATCGTTTTAACTGATATTCTGAATAAGATCTTATTATTGAGTTATAGAGAAAAAAACATGTTTACTTGTGAATTAAAAAAAAAATATTCAAATAATTAAATTAAAAAAAATTGAATTTTCTTAGTATTCTAAAAGAGTGGTGGGAGTACTTAATTAGGTGCAATATACCCCCATTATGTTACTGTTCAAGTAAATCCAAAAATGGTAACTTCTCAATAATATCTAGTGCAAAACGCAATGAAAATGGACCCTGCATATTGACATTAGTATTATATAACCGTGGGTTTACACTGACACACTATTTTTTTTTGCATTAGCGTTCCGATAGTATAGTTCCACTTTAAAATAAATAAAACCGACTGTGGCGTATCCAAGCTTTTAAAACAAATACAAGCTTTTAAAACAAATACAAGCTTTAAATCTACATTGTGATTGGTGTTTTTTTTTTATAACCGACTTCAAAAAAAAGTCATTTTTTTGTCTTCATTTATAAACCGATTGAAAAAAAATATGTCACACAAGACATTTTTGTATTTTTTTCTGACTTTTAATCGTTTAAATTAACCTTGAATTCTGGGAAAATTAAAAAAAAAAGAAATTTACTTGTCTACAAAAAAAATTTTTTTTGAAGTCGGTTTTTACAATTTTTTCACAATCCCGTCTACCCCCCTTCAATAGTCGTCGAGGTCGACATCGTCCAGCGGTTCGTCTAGCTGCAGCGATTGAAAATCCACTTTGTACCGTAGTATACCTATTTTTTACCCATCCAAGCAGCATTAACCAAAATAATATTGTTAGTAATAAGCATTAGTTAAAATAATCTATACTTAAGAATTATTTAATAATCATGTTACCGTACACCCATAGTACTTACATACTATGTTATCGTCACTGTATAGTACAATTTACACACATCATGTTATGTTACACGCATAGTATCTACATATAAAGTTATCATGGTCGCATAGTATTATAAAATTCTCATCACAATGTCAGTTATGAGAACTCCATACTCCTCAGAAACAACTTGACACAGACGGAGTCGCGGGAGAGAACCAGTAATACTAACATGAAATGTATTATTTCATAGTAAGTAAATTTATATACTACATATCATGTTATCGTAGTCGTATAGTCATGTTTTATTGCTCAATTATTATGTAGAAATGTCATTAAAATGACCTATCAAGTTATGCTAACTGTTAGGAAGAAAATCCGACACTGTGCCGGTGTACTGGCGCAACACTAGCCTTACTAAAATATCAACGTTTATGTTCCCTCACTAATAAAATATAACACTTGACTTGGTAATAAAAGCGCATCAATCACGCCAAAGGATTCTAATAATGTCATAGTATCTAGGTATCATGTTACGGTACCCGCATAGTACATAAGGTATACTGACCGCCAATGCCACCAAAGCCGCGCACAAACTGACTTCCCTCCTGACTCTTGTCGGTGATGATTTCAAGTGTGGCACCAAACGACTTATAGTTATTAGCGAGCCACTCCAACAACGGCTGGCACTCCACCAGCTCCAATTCAACTCCGCTCTGAAATATACAAAGAATAAATTAACAATATGTATGATTATACTAATACTAGCTGTCGCCCGCAAGTCCGTCCGTGCGGGATTAAAAATAGATGTTGTCCGATTCTCAGACCTACTCAATATGCTCACAAAATTTCATGAGAATCGGTCAAGTCGTTTCGGAGGAGTATGGGAACGAAAATTGTGACACGAGAATTTTATATATAAGATTATAAATGGATGGATGGATATGCATATGCGTTGCTTTAATCGGCGAAGGAGAGGATGCACAGAAAGAAAATATCCTCCCTTTCCATTATCCTCTCATCCGGTAAGTCCACTTCCACTTCCCATCCTTTCCTTATAAGAAAAAGGGTGGGAAGGAAAAGAGGCCTCCGGGACGCAAACTCATCAGATGAAACGCGGAATTGCTTCCACTTGATGCCTGTCTTCTGTGTGGTCGTGGTATTTCACCGGACGAGTCGGGACAATTCGTGCAAACATTTTAAAGCTCGCTCTATCACTGTTAAATGTATGTATGTATATAGATATTTATATAGTCACAAAAATATAAAATCAGTAGAGAATAGATTACATGATAGGTTTCATATATTCCTGGTCAGACTATAAGTGAAATGAACTAACCTCTTTGTCAGTGAAATGCGACTTGTCTTTCTCTTGTTCAGGCGTGAGGTGCAGAATGGTCTCCTGGTTGGTGGCATGAGATTTTAGCACGTATCTGAAAATTAAATACAATATTATAAGATTTAATACGACAAATAGACAGACCGGGACAAAGCAGAGCAGATTTTTATCTTACTAGTATTATAAAGGTGAATGTACGGATGGATGTTGGTTACAAGGTATCTCCAGAATGGCTTCATAGATCTCGCTGAAATTTGGTATAGATCTAGAACATAGTTTAGAACAGTGGTTCCCAAACTTATTTTGTCTACTGCCCACATTGAGAATAAATATTTTTTTAGCGCCCCCATATTTTCACATATTTAAAAACCACTATAACTTCAAATTAAATTAATTAATTATTGTGACGTATATATGTATATTAACGGAAAATTGTAAAGGAAACTTTTACTATAACCCACAACTTGAGACCTGCAGCAAGCACAAGGGGACGTTATCGCACACTTTGGGAAAGACGTCTAGAACAATGCAGGCTACTATTTTTTTTTTAAATTTCGCGACGACGTTGCAGACGCCGACTAGTACATATCTAAAGACATACAGACAGACTCACCTTTGTATATCAAGATTCTCCCAGCAGATGAGTGTTTCCACGGCACCAAGTTCCAAAGCCCGCAGAGTGTCATCCACACCAAAGCAGTATTTACCGGTGTCCTATTTTATAAATAAATAAATTAACTAAAATTTCCACTGATCTAACTGCCATGGATATTATTCACAAGTTTATTGGAATAAGAGTCTAAATATCACAACCATACAAAAGACAGGTATTAAGTGGAAGCAATTCCACATGTGTGTGTTCTGGAAGCCTAATTTTACACCCTTTCCATTTCCACCCTTTTATTCTAAGGAAAGTATGAGACAGGAAAGTGGGTTGCACAGAATAAGGGACGGATAGAAAAGGAAAATATTTTTTTATGGGCTCCGTTCTCATTCGGTTAAAGGTAGGCAACGCGTTTGCAATTGCGGGTTAGAAGGTATCTCCAGAACTGATGAACGGATATTAATGAAATTTGGCTTAGATGTAGAACATATAAGCTCTACTTAACTTTTTTATAATTCTGCACAAACGGTCAAAGATGAATTTACCTGTGAGATCTCATCAAAGTATCTTCCGATGAGTTTCTTCTCTTGTATAAACTTGACATTCTGTAGAGACTCAGCGGCCAACTCGATAGCTTGATTGAATCCATTCTCACCACCATAAGATACATCCACCAACTTGATGATTTTAGATTGGAGACGCTGAAAATTGAAATATTTAAAATGAAAAAATATAACACAGCAGTAATTATATAAAGACCAAATAGACAATTATTCAGGTAGAAAATTAAAAAATAGGACTAAGTTTGGAAAAAATGTAGATATTTTACAACAGAAAATGTCTTACTCTAGATTTCGGACTAATTTTAAAGGCGCAATTATAGTCTACATGACTACATCTGCTAAATCTATTTTTTATATCATAAAGTGGGAAAAGAGCACAGAGCAACCAGAATTCCACAATTGCAGATGCATAGAAAAAGGATATTTTTCCTTCCTACGAGTCCCCTCCTCCAAATCTACTTCCCCTTCCCATAAATAAAAATGTTTTAATATTTTTCCCTATGTTTTACTAAATAACTGAATAAAAATTGAAATTGAAGAGTATTAATTCTAAGAAATTATTAACCTTACTCATATTATAAATGTGAAAGTATCGATGGATGGATGAATGATTGAAGTTATCTCCGGAAGAGCTGAACGGATTTTAATGGAATTTTGCAGACATGTAGAACATAGTTTAGACCAGTCTTTTCCAAGTGTGCGATAACGCCCCCTTGTGGGCGTTGCAATCCACAAGGGGGGCGGTAAGAGACCCAGAAAGAAAATGGGGGCGTTGTGTAGAGGCCTGGGGGGTGATTTGTATTTTTATTTAGCTAGGAGGCCTCTCAGACAACGACTGCATGAGCTCTCCACTGTCAACAACAACTTGTGAACATCAACATATATGAATTAAAAGATTGCTTAAACTCTAATATGGGGGCGCTAAAAAAAATATTTATTCTCATTGTGGGCAGTAGACAAAATAAGTTTGGGAACCACTGGTGTAGAAGAACGCATAGACTACTTATTATATTTTTTTTATTCCGTGCGGAAGTAGTGACGGGCGACAGCTAGTTATAAATATTCATAGTATCCTTACCGGATCAAACATATCAGACTGGGACAACTCAGTTTTGAAGTCAGCGGAACCAGCTAGAATCAAACCAGCTACATTCGGTCTATCCGCACTTATGAACAACTGTGTTGCAACTTCAGCCACCTTACGGACATAATTATGTCGCTTTTCCATACGTAGACGTGCGAAACGCAACGCAGATTGACCACCACGACCGTGCTTCTTGGGTAAATCTACAGTGAACTTGTGGAGTACCTGGGAAAAGAATCAAAAGCTATAAATCCCCACTGAGGGGTTTGCAGGCTACTCCAATATCTCCATGCAACCAGCATGGATTTGACTTGGACTTGGAAATTTGGCATAGATGTAGAACTGTTTGAGGAGAACATATAGGCTACTTTTTAGTTTTTTTCCGCGCAGACGGAGTCGGCTGCTAGTAGTTACTACAGAAATGAACAATTTTTTCGACTAAATGAGAATTACATGTTATGGTGTGTTTCTGTGAATGTTTAAAACAAGTTGTAACTCTATTTTGTCAAATATAACGACAGTGATGACAATATGTTTGATATACATCTTAGAAACAGTTTAACAAGGTTGGTAGTTAGTATCCTTGTAGTTAATTATAACTCACCTCTCTAGTATTTCCTTGCAGTGTACCAAACAGGGCACCATTACCATCCATAACGATGAAACCAAATTTATTATCATCAGCCAGTAATGCAGTGAGAGCTTCTGTATGGAACTTATTATCACATAAATAGAGAGATGTATTAATAGGCTTGAAAGGTTCAAAATCAATGTTAACCTTCTTTTCTTTGCCCTCCTCAGTGACAATGGTACCACAGTAGATAACTAATCCATTTGGCGGTACTGGAAAAAAAATATAAATTAATTCTCTGATTCAATTATCATCATCAGCTCACTATAAGTTCCCACCCAGTGGCTCGGAGCCTACCCTAAGTTTAGGGTGATTAGGCCATAGTCAACCATGCTGGTCAAGTTCAGGTTGACTTCACACATATCTTTGAATTTCTTCTCAGATATGTGCAGCATCACGATGTTTTCCTTCACCGTAAGAACGTCGGATAAATGTACATATGTAATAAGAAATCGAAAAACACATTTGTACATAGCGGAATTCGAATCCAGGACCTGCAGATTGCAAGTCAAGTGCTTGATTGATTCTATTAATGTAAGCCGCTATTACGCATACAGGATAATTACTAATAGTATGATTAACACTATAAAAATAGAAACAATAACAAACATAACTTTTAACTATAGTTTCACTCACCTTTCGTATATAATTTGAGTCTATGTTGTACAGATGTAATAGCTCCCAGGACAGATAATCTGTTCACTCGGGACTTGATGTTAGATGCTGTACCAAATTCATCAGCCAACATCTTCGATACACGTGAGATTTGATCCTTGGGCGGTATGATCAGGGATATCATTGATGTACCATTACTGAAATTAAAATAGAATTTTTGTTAGAAAATCTTAAATATATATTTTTTTATCCTTCAATCACAAAGGCCTAATTGTTCTCTTTCCCTCAGCAACTTTTTCTTAAAGATTTGATAGTGGAGAAGATGCATAGGAAGGGAAATATTTTCTTTCTATGCATCCCCTCCTCTGTCAATTAAAGGTAAGCAACATATCTTCAAAATGTGTATGTCTATGGTCAACCTACAACTTTATTTCTCAACTTTGTAATCCAAGGTGCTCTGTGGACCCCAGTTGGTTCTTTTGAACTGCTTTGAGAGTTGTTGGTCTGCCCAATGTTAAAATATAGCAACTTGGACTTGTTATTTGATAGCTATTGTGCCATAAATAACTTCAGTTGTATTAAATGGGGGATGTCAATCATATTTTAGACTATGTGGGGGACATATACTATGTGGAGATGTATATTAAGGGAGTCCGAGAGACCCCAATATTCATCGCTTATCCAAACTCTACTCTATCTTTAAAAATAACAAAAATAACCAAGAAGGATATGCATAGACTATTTCAATTTAAAAGGGAAATAAAATAAGCATAAACAAATAAAGAGAACTAATGTTTTTTTTCACAATTGAAAGTCTGAAGAAACTTTACTTCTTTTCAAAACAAAAAGACAAAGGCTTGTTATATTCAGCCAAGTCATGTTTGTTTTTGTGTGATAATTGGAAACAAAGACACTTGTATAAAGTGTTTATTTTAAGGCAGCAATTTGTTAATTTTTCCATACATGTAAATATTACTGATTCATAATACCATTTATAACGCTGGTCATAAATGAAAGTATGATTCGAAGAAAAAAAAATCGAGTGAAGTACGCCGAAAGCTGCAGAACCGCATTGCGCGAATGCATTCGATTTTCAAAAGCAGCCAAAAGGGCGCGTAATTCCAAACAGTCCAAATCAGCTGGACAATTTTTTCCCCAGTTCTAACAGACTACTAAAGTACTTAAATTTCATTTTGAGAACGTAATTTTTCGATTATGATACTCAGAGTCTATTAAATGCGCATTCCTGCATCCTTTGCGTTTCCACAAGGTTATTTCTGCGCATGCAAATCGCGCATGTGCCCGTCCATCGTGCAAGTGACGCAGCCGTGTTGGCAATTTCATCCAATGAAATAGCCACAAACATAGCATAGTACAATGACCACGTTGTTACTGCATAGCGTCAATCTATACCAAGAATGTGATACTTCATTCATAACTCACCCTCTCGCCATCTCCAAACTCTTGATAAGTTTCTTAATCTTCCAGATTTCGACATTGCGATCCGCTGACGATTCTTCGGACATTTTGGATCGGGTTAAATAAACTAATACACCACTAAAACACTCCGAATAACGGATAAATAAACGTAAAAGTCTGTAAAACACACCACTAAACTTTAATAATAAGGGAATTCGAGGGAAAGGGACTTCAACTCGCGGTTAAAACTGCTTTAATCCAGATCGAACCGGACGGACGAGACACCTCGCGACTTCGTTCACTCACTTTCTAGTTTACATTTACGTCTTTCGTTACTCGTACTTTTCTTCTGGTGCGGGGATTCTTGGATTTTTTCTTTATTCGGTTAACCCTAAGCATGTGGGATACAAAAATCAGACATTTGAGGATAAAAAGATGACGTGACGGAACTAAGCGATCGAACGAACGCCTCCACTCGTCGCCGATCGGGGAAATGAAAGAAAAAATTGAACAAATTGTTGCTATACTTAAAATTTGTTGACAGTGTTAACAGCACTACATTTTCAGAATTTACTAAAAATAGACGGCCCTACTGAACTAAATCATTCAAGAATAACCAGACACTCGTTTTTATTCTTGCTTATAGAATTTGGATGTTGTGTTTCGTCTCAGTTCTCATAAATGAGTCAGTTTTAACTCTTCTCATTACTTACGTGTACGTGTCCGAATAAATTACTTTGTATGTATAAGAAGAAATTCTATAAGGAAGGAATTAAACCGCCGAACGTCGAGGAACATTATGTAACTTCTCATTTTCGTGTTATCTATCTTCAACGAGATAATAATTAGTGATTACATAATTTTGGCATGACAACATTGTATCCAACTGTCAATTATACATTGGGCAAGACGTCTTATCAATTTAAAAAAGAGGTTATAATTTCGCAATTACAAAAAACCTATGGTTTGCCTTGAAGGTTTGCTGTAAATTTACAATACTAAAATAAACGAACATAATGTAAAATGGATATATGTAGGACTTGAGATATCCAACACGTTTAAACTCACTAAACGAATATTAAACCGGAAGATAACCAACCGGGATGTCTTCGTTTGGATCGATCTTATTCAGGGATATTGGTGTTAAAAGGTTTTGGAATGCATGGACTCGTGGTTATAGATTCAGTTATGTGGTGCGGCGCTGCCGACGGGAACGTACAGTGCGGGAAGTGTTACATTGTTTTAGGACGGCATTTTTCAAACCGAGCAGAACTCTATTAATGTCTGTAACAGCGGCTTACAACAGTCGTAGTGAGGAGACAACGGACTGTAACGTTGGAATTTCCGATGATGAACTGGAGGTATGGAGAATTCCATTCGTCAAGGTCATTTATGTCACACGATTGACATACTAAGTATATTCATACATATATATATGTATGTATGTGCACAACTATTAGATATATATAATTTATTAGTTCAATTATTACGTAGGAACTATTTTATAGTTAAAGATAGTAAACAAGATAGTGGCCAACTGATTTTGCTAAAAATAGAAGTTAAGTGAATGCTGCATACAAATACCCCCAACTACTTTGCCTACCTAAAAGGAACGGAGGAAGATATAGGGTGTTGCACCCTTCCTATACATCCCATCCAATGCGGGATCCATATCCCCCAACCAAGTTATACTTATGAGGAAAAGATGAGTGAAGGACTAATTTTACTGCTACACAAGGGACCCTTAAAGAGTCTGTAACTAGTCTTAACTTAATCTGGGGTAGTAAGATTAAAATAAACATTGAAATTAAAACATAAAATTAAATGGATCTTAACTATTTATTTAACTAATACAAAATACTGTCGAAACTAGATAAGCAAGTCATTTTTCGGTCCTAATGCCTTTTAAAAGCAAGGAAAATACAGCAGACCTTAAGATACTTGCTTACCCAGATTCCAGTCCAGTGTTATAATGACTTGTTTACACACAACATATCGGTTTTCTACAGGTTTTACTAAGAGATGTGGACTTAGTTAAGGATTTAATCAAGGTGACTCTACAATGCAGGACATGTTGTAAACGTGTTGTTATAGATAAGAAGCAAGCCGGCGTGCAGTACTGTGAGTACGTATATCATTTAATACATAACATTTATTTCAAACAAACAAAAAGGATAAAGTTAATAAAGTGTATATTAGAGAAGTTTGAAAGTAGCGCCAGTGATCGAGAAATTGAGGAGTAAAAGAATAGCATGGTTTGGACATGTTATGCGGAGGGATGATGATATAAGCAGAAAAGTAATGAGATTGAATGTGGATGGCTCAAAGGTAGAGGAAGACCAAAAAAAGTATGGAATGACTGTGTGAATGAGGACATGCGTAGGAAGGGGGTAGACTCAGATATGACGGCTGATAGAGATGTATGGAGGAGTAGCACATACTGTGCCGACCCTCAATAAGGATAAGGGCAGGTTGATGATGATTTATTTCAAACAAACACACATACTGCATAGATTGGAACATATTTAAGACATAGCTTAAGAGAAGGCACTACCTCCTGTAACACATCCCCGCCTACCGCATAAGGCAGAGTCCTAAGGAATTATAGAGTTTTTTGGTTCAATACAGTATTATTTATTTATATAACTGACTAATCAGAGATATTTCACATGATTGGTTATTTTTTTATAATATAAGGTTGCAAAAGAGCTAATGGCCAACCACATTCACCGAAGTGATGAAGCAACCTCCGCCCATAGACATCTACAATTACATATATTGCCTAACTTTAATTGACGGAGAAGGGGATATACAGAAAAAGGATATTTTCCCATACTAAGCCCTAATACCCTCCTCCACCAAAATCATTAACTAAAGTTGGGCATCTGGAATGCTTTGAATTAGAGGATAGATTAGATTTTTTTTTAATTTTTATGTAACACATATCAAATTCCTTTCTTATATGGTGTAGGCACAGTATTAATTTTGTATGTAAAAGCCATATCTTTTGGAAGCAAAGGTCAGCTTTGGAATGCGCATTCCTTTGGCCCTGCTACAACTAAGTACTTGCTACTTGAAGTAAGTAGAGAGATTATGTTTCCTATTCTGTGTCCTCTTCTCCGACAAATTCACTTCCCTTTCTTCATGCACTAATTACTTAGTACTAAGTAATGAATGAAGAAAGGGAAGTGAATTTGTCGGAAAACACGACACACATAACCTTTCTATTCATCCTCTCCCCCATTGATTATAAAAACATCTGCAATTGCAGATGTCTATAAGCAGCGCTTCGCTGTTTTTGGCGAATCCGCTTGTCTGCTATTTAATAATATAAAATTCTATACAATTAAGCTATATCATATAGTTTCTCATCTATTTTCAACCATTTTCACAGTTGTAAAGATGGTCATCCTGCGGAGGACTCTTCAGACGGCTGGGTCCCGTTCATGGAGGCGGAGGATGTTATCATCTGGCGCAAGGAGTACAAACCTGGACAGGGTTTATATGCTTACAAAGGTAATAATTTAATCATTTGAATGGTTTTATGCAAGATGTAGTCATTGTGTTATAGTGGGGTAGGCTCAACAGTTTACGTCCGCTAGACCGATCATTTGTCATTTCAGACATCACTTCTCACACAAAACATTATTTTTTATGATTTCATACTTGAATATTGAAGTTGTTTAAATTTATTTCAAGTTTATACTTTTGACTTGGCTTTTGGCCAGCATGGTTGACTATGGCCTAATCACCCTTAACTTAGGGTAGGCTCCGAGCCCCTCGGTGGGGACGTATTGTGAGCTAATGATGATGATGATTAGGTTTTAAACGTTATTTCGTAGGTTTATTTAATGAGCTTCCAAATTATTTTTTAATTTGAGCTATAAATAGTATAATAATTTGTCCATCAGAATTTATTATGTTTAAATAAGATGTTAAATAAAACAAACATTGCATGTAAAAAAATAGTTTCACGTTTTTTTTTTAAGTACTCTGTGTTTTATATTGGCGGCCATTTAAACGGCACAGGTTTAAAAAAATACTTCCGTGTTGCCATATAGGTATATAAAATTAGTTACAAAAGTTTCCATATGACCTCGACTGATCGTTATCATAGTAATAGATCTTGTCTACGTTATGTTATGCTGAATTATGTCATAGTTATGTTTTGTACGTGATGCAATCCAAACAAAGTTATCTAATGCAACCAATTGGCACGTCAAGAGCAAGAAAACTTTTGTGTGCGATGTGCCAACTTAAAATCTGGAGATCAGATTTTTTTTTCTTTCTTCTATTTATATTTCGAACACTTAATTTTATCCAACGGTTTGCCCACGTCGAGTCTTCCGTGAATAGATGTGTGTCTGTGGGGTACGATCGCCGGTATTGGGCCGGTTGAACGGGATTTCATGTTTGGATAGATGGACGTTTGTTAAAAGGTACCTCCAGAACGGCTGTATATCGATTAATATAGAACACTAGCTTCCTTGCGCGGAATTGAAAAAAGAAAAATTAGTAGCCGATTCCAGACATTTATGCGAAATTTCAGCAATATCGATGCCAACTTTCTGTAGATACCTTTTAACAAATATCCATCCATTAGTAAGATAGTCTAGAAGAACACATAGACTAGTTTTTTAATACTTGCGGACGGAGTCGCGGGTGACAGCTAGTTATATTTATGTAGCTGTTTTCCACCATTCTAGTATACGGTCGCTACCCCGAGGTGAGTGCGCGGGATTTTGCGGCAGTACAACTAGACGGGGCGTATCGACGCGCGTGGGACGCCGCTGTCGCCGCGCTGGCTGTAGTACAAAGACACGCGCTCGGTGTACCTGGTCAGGCGGTGCTGCATTGGGAGGTGTTGTGGCCGGTGAGTACACTGACGAAACAGTTACAACAACATGTTTCATGTTATAATACTACAAATACATACGAACATATGTAATATGATTATGTAAGAACTTGATGTTAGGTCATATAGGTCTGTAGGGTGGAAAATATACTGCAAGTAATATTATGTTTTTTCTTCATATTTTTTATATATTTTGTGTACTACATAATACAGATTAAATTACTTGTGAGAGGCCCAATTATAGTGCTCTTACCCTTCCCAGTCTTTTCTTATAAAGGTTGGGTATGGGAAGTGGATTTGACGGAGGTAGAGATTAGGATAGAAAGAGAAAGTCTTTCGCTTGCTCATTTTCCACTATGTTAAATATAAAAAAATATGATATTTACGCTTTTTAAAATATATTAACTTTCAATTTTTTTTTATATTAACTTTAATTTTTTTATGGTTCAATTATTTGTTTTAATTTCTTTGAATGAGAACATATTATTTACAAATTTTCAGAGGTTATTCGCGAATCGAGACTACGTGTATATAAGACGACATAAAGAATTTGATGCATTTAACGAACGTCTAACAACCAAAGATAATCTAGTCGCCGACTGTACTGATACACAAGAGGAAACGAGACGGAAATATGTTGACAATACGAGTGAGGGAGACAGAGTTAATAATAAAGTATACGTCATAGTGTCCAAGTCTTGTGAACATCCGGATGTACCAGAAACGAGACATGCTATCAGAGTGATGGAGTATTGGAGTCATATGGTCGTTAAAACTATTCAAGGTGCGGATAAGGTAAGGAAAAACACAATTTAATTTAAAAAAAAAAATTAACCGAATTTATGACACTCAGGGGAATGGTACGAATCGAATGATACCTCAGTTGTCGAAATCAGTTCAGGTACAATTCAAAAGGTCTGCGTCCATTGGCACGTAATAAGGTAGAAGGGAGGGACTGAAATGACGAAAGAAAGTTTGGTCTGGGGGACTAAAACTGTTGTGTTAACCCCACATAAAGTGGGCAGACCATTCTAGAGGCAAATTTCTATGTGGGGTTAAAACAACAGTTTTAGTCCTCGTTTCATCTTAATTCTAATGAGGTCTGAGAGATTTGTTTTTAAATTGACTTTCCATTGTATATAGCCCGGTATGGAGTTCGTGCTGACATACTATGACGAGCCAGCGCGTGGTGGCATGCCAGTGGGTGTGGCGGCGTGGGCCACTGGCCGCGCTGCACCCGGCTACCTCGCGCGTATGCGTCGCGCTGCCAACCACTACCACGCGTGGGCAGTCAACACACCACCTCATCAGCAGGTAATGTGTTAATCCCGTCATGGAAAATAAAAAAAACCCTTAATTAGTAGCCTATGTGTCCTTAAATACTGTGTTCTACATCTATGTCAAACTTCATTAAAATCAGTTGAGCCGTACCGGAGACACTTTCAACATCCACCATCCATCCATCTAAAGAATTGTACTTATAATAATAGTTGTGACTCCGTCCACGTGGAATAAAAAAAAATAATTACTAGCCTATGTGTTCTTCCAGACTATGGTTCTACATCTATGACAAATCTCATCGAGATCCATTGAGCTGTTCCGGAGACTTCTAACATCCATCTAAATATTCGCATTTATAATATTAGTAAGATTTAATTCTGTTATAAAGGAGATGCCAGACTTCACACCCTTCGATCCTGAGCTGGTGGAAAAGCAGCAGAAGAATGCAAGCACACAGATCAGTGAAGAGGATATGGAGGTAAAGTACATAATGGTTAAACCCAATAATCTAAAGATTGATTTATTTTCATACTTTTATAATTAATCGTCGTCTAAATTAGGTTTTTACATAACTATTACGATCTGCTTTTGAATCTAATAAATAAAAAAAGATTTTAGATAAATATAATTTACTAACTATCGCCCGCAACTTCGTTTGCGCGTAATTAAAAAAAATATTAAATAGCCTATGTGTTCTTCCGGGCTTTATTCTAAATATATGCAAAATTTCAGCCGCTTTAGAGATATCTTCAAACATACATCCATCTAAGTTTTTCTTGACAATTTTTAAAACTCAACCAAATGTATATTTATTCACAATGTGACTTGTTAGATTACAAACGTTTTAAACGATTCGCTTGTGACATATAGAATTTAACTATTGTTTAAAATATTTAGGTTTAATAATAATTAAAAAAAATATTTACAGTCATCAAAAGAAGGTCCTGAAATGGAAAATAATGATATCACAAGAGATCAAAGCACACAGACAGAATTAAATGAAAATAGAATAGAAATTAAAGAAGTGATAAAAGAAAAATGTATAGAACAAAATACACAGAACAATGAAATAAAGAAAGAACAAGATGAGAAGAAAGAAGATAAAAGAAAAAATAATGCAATAAATATTGAAGCGCCTGTCCAAAAAGATACGGCAAAGGTGCGTAAATGCATCAATTAATATTAATAAAATGGTTTAATATGACATTCATGAAAAAGACATCGGTTATAACGACCTAAGTTCATTCTCCTGTTCTCTTTCACGATACTTTTTTCAGTCTTTCTCTATTTTTAATTTTAATTTCCTTCCCCTTTCTTAAAGGGATTTGGCGGGGAATGGGATACATAGGTAGGGAAAAATCTCCTTTCTGTGTTCAGTAAACATAGGCTACTTATTTACGAATGCAAATGTCTATGGCCATCTGTCACTTCGCTGTTTTGGCGAATTTCAATTAACTTTTTTTAACGCATTATAAATCTTTGTAGTCCAACAATCTAATTTCTTCTTTATGTAATACTAGGTGTTGCCCGCGACTCCGTCTGCGTGGAATTAAAAAAAAACTTAGTAGTCTATGTGTTCTTCCAGACTATGTTCTATTTATATGCCAAATTTCATCAAGATCTGTTGAATCGTTTTGGAGATACATTTAAACTTGTTAGTAAGATTTTATTTTTTTTAATTTTAAAAATTGTTTCCACCGATAGAAAACTGTTGCATCGAGAAATGAAGAAATTTAAAAATAAAGTAAATACAAGATTTTCTTTAATGATTTTACAGTTAATTTATTTTGTAATTATTTGACTTGTAATTAAGTAATTTGAGTATTTAAAAATATTTTTATGTTTTGAGTTTTTTTTTTTATTTTAGTGATTTTTTTTTTGCATTTTAAAAGTATTTTTTTTTTAATTTATTTTAATTATTTATTTTGTATTAGATATTCTTGAAGGATTTTGAAAGTAAAATTAAGTATTTCTATAAGTAATTTATATTAGAAAAGTAATATTGAATACTAGCTATCGCCCGCGACCTCGTTTATAGAAAAAAAAAACTTAATTAGCCTATGTGTTATTCCAGACTGTATTCTATATGTATGTTAAATTTCAGTTAGATACATGCAGCCGTTCTGTATATACTTTCTTACAGACAACCATCTAAACATTCGCATTTATAATATTAGTAAGATTTCTCTTTTTATTTTTCAGGAGACAGAGTTAGAAGGAGAAGAGAATAATGGCAGTTGGTGGAGATATCTCTATCCTTTTTATTATTTTGTATAGATAATATTAATAATTGTTATAATAGTTATAGGCTGATAAATTTATTTGACCCGGTGGACAACCGTTGGTTTGAGACCAAAATCTCTATATTGTTATCCCTGTCGTTATCTTTGATAAAATAGAGATATGTTTTTTTAAATGTAGATTTTGATCTCAGATACCCACGGTAAGTTGATATTTAATTGCAATTTGTTATAAATTTATCACAAGATCCTTGTTTTGTCATCTCATCGGGCCATATAAGTTTGTAGCACTATGTTTTTTATAATATAAGTGACAGAATAAGTGATAGGCTTTTTCGTGTTATGTCCGATTTACATTATTCCAGTCCAGCGATTGTATTACAACTGGAATTGTGTGAACATACTGGAATGAGTTTTTGAGATCAAAATCCCTGTATATTCAATGTATTTAGTCTCGGAAACCCGCTGTAAGTGGGTCTTTGTTTGTGTTATTATTCCAGTTGTGATCCAGTTATGATCGCTGGACTGGTATTATGTAAATTGCATTTTGTGTTCATTAGATGTGAAAATTTTGTTATATATTTGGGTATTTGTTTAAAATTTGGTATGAAATTTTATTATATGAGATTCTTAAAGCTTTTTAGTGCTTGCTGTTTCCGACGGTATAAAATATTATTTTCTAAGTACTAAAGAATAAATGTTGCTATTTATAAGCATTTATGTCCATTTTACAGTAGATGATAAATAAAAAAAAAATGTTTTTCAATTCGAAATTCGATTGAAACAGATAGTAAAAGATTTTTTATAAAATTTTCCATACTATCATCAAATATATCAAATTTTACGTATCTTAAATTATTTAAACTTTCGTGAGACATTATAAACTGATATGAAAACGGCTATACGCTCACGTTTTAAGTGAGCTGGTGGTCGCGTCCGCGAAATACCAGTACCACTCACCCTGATGAAGGGCCCCCGATGAGCTAGAAACTAGTCAGTGCCACCGGACTAATATATGTCAGTATTTAACCATTTTTAAATCGTCGTCAATATCAAAATCACCGTCTTTGAAGCGACGGAACCAATCACGGCATGTTGTTTCGCTTAGAGCAGCATTTCCGTACACTTCTTGAAGCTCTCGATGCGCTTGAGCTGCCGTTTTTTTTCGAATGAAAAAAGAAAATCAACACTTCCCGCAAATGACGATTGTTTGGCACGAAATTCGACATTTTTACTTGACCAGAAGTATATAATGCGAGAACAAAATCACTCATGTGTCGCAACGGTTTGTTTACCATATGTCTAAGCTTGGTTCATGACGTTTTGGATATGTCAAAATCGACCAGCTCTTACTGCTAGAGCCGTCTACTGACAAACAGCGAGAACTTTGTTGCGCACCTATCAGTTTAATTTTACGTTTCTTAGTTAACGTAAAAAAAGTGGTACAAATTTTTCTTTTTACGTATATTTTGAATAAAGTTTCATTGGTGATAAAAGCCATAAAATATTAGAAATAATCCTAACCTAGTCCATAATCTATATAATTACATAATAAAATTGGATTGTCTGTATGTCATAAAAAATTCAGAAACATATATTTGAGTTGCTTATAACGTCGTTTGTCTGTTTGGTTGTTGGAAAATGGTTGGTCGAAAGTAATGTAGGCTGTTTTTATCCGTGCTGACAAAGTCGTAGGCAAATGCTAGTTTAAAATGAACTTTAGGAAAAATTATAAATATTTGTTAGTGTTGTTTCCGCTTACTAACAGATGGCGCTGTGAAGAAACTGTTTTTGTATAAACACAATATTAAGTATCTTGTCTCGTCATATAGTTCGTTTTTAATAACATTTTTGGATATTATTTGTGTAAATACGAATACCTTTGAGAGAGTAACATGATTTTCGCTACTAACTTCTACTGTCATTTCAAAAAATGGTTTCAAAATTGCTACTACGGTTTCAATTACTTCCCAATGTGTATTTTGAAGATTGAGCTCATTTTTTGTAAGAGCCAATGTGCTTATCACAGCATCTTTTAATTTTTTAAATTCTCTCTAACATCTCAAAACACGAGTTCCAACGTGTTGGGCATTCTTTTTTAAGTTTTAACAATGGTAAACCCATTTGGTTTAGTGTTGATTCTAACTTCGTTTGTGCAGTACAACTTTTTTTTTAAATATTTTACTATGGATTTCACTTTACCTATAATATCAGATATTATTTTAAGGCCGTTCTGCACAATCAAATTTAATGTATGGGCGAAACAACCCACAGGTCGCCATTCGCCTAGCCTGATAGCAGCTTTTTTTTTTTATTGGGCGGCGCTATGCCGCCCTCTCGTTCCCCCTAGTATGTTGTGGCCAGAGACTTTGGTTACTTTTTTAAGTTATTCACAAAATTCTTACACTAGTTGCTTATAAATTAATACATTTTTACTTACTGCTAATTTAAAACTTCTATATAGCAGCTTGGATGTTAGCTGCATTGTCACTAACGACGTATCACTTTATTTGTAATTTGCCAATCCTGCATCATCTGCCGTACGAAGGCAACTAAATTTTTCACTTGTATGCCTCTGATCATAATTAATACAGCCCAGTAAAACAGACTGTATCACAGTGTTCGAATTAATAAATTGTGCAGTGACCGCGATATAGTTTTCATTAGCGTTAGATGTCCATGCGTCGGTACAGAGACAAATAGCAAACGAATCTTTTAAACGTTGAAATACTTTTTCAAATACTTCCATGTAATTTTTATTAATTAGCGTGTTAGATAAGGTTTTCCTAGTTGGTAGTTGATAATCGGCAATCATTCTCGCGATACGACCTCATAGCAGATAGATTTTCTCCTATTAATAATAGAAGCGTTGCTGGAGTTTCTTCCGCCACTTCTTCTCCCAGCGATAACGCTTGCCGAAGTGGTAGTAATGTTAGATGTATTAAGTTGTTTTTTTTTATTCAGAGGAGACAGAGTCTCAGGTGACAGTTAACACAAATATTGTTTTTTTTTACATTTAATTGACAAAGAACTCGTTGGACCGCTGGTTTTGGTTGTGTCGCCACTTGCACGCCCAGTTCCAGCACGACATGCCCGCCCATGGCTCGTCCGTGTAGAATACTTGCCCGTTCTGGTACATCTGGAAGTAAATGTGTATGTTTGTTTAAAGTTATCTCCATGAATGCATGAAAGCATCACGCACGCTATCGTTTTTGTTTGCTTCTGCATCAACAGCCGCAATGTCACAATATTTGGAAAGTAGTTTCAAAGCTTGTAAATATGTGTCAATACTTTCTTCTGGTCGTTGTTTCCTTGTTGCTAACATGTGTCTAGCTAAAATCTGATTTTTCGGTTTTACATATAGTTTTTGTAGTATTGTGATCGCTTATTCGTAGTCCATCTTGATGAAATTTGGCATACATATAGAACATAGACTGGAAGAACACAGACTACTTATTAAGTTTTTTTTTAATGCCGTACGGACAGAGTCGCGGGCAATGGCTAGTTTTATCCACATTCTCGGGGCTCGAGCCTACTCTAAGTTGATGAATACAATTTGAAATTTGATCAGTTTTCAGGGTTCTATAGACCTAAAAAGATGTCAGACCTTGTCTGGCATAAGTCAAACTAAATTATGACAACTGTCAAAATGTCAATATCGTTTTTATACTGTTGCTGTCAGGTTATGTTTTATCTTTTATGACATATGGTAGCTGATACATGGAATAATATAATCTAATTTTATTTCTCTTTCCCTTCAAACCATTTTCTTATAAGGAAAGGAAGGGAAGTGGAAGTGGACTTTCCGGATGAGAGGATGCATGGGAAGGGAAAATATTTCATTTCTGTGCATCCTCTTCTCCGTCGATTAAAGGTAGGCAACGCATATGCGATTGCGTATGTCTATGGGCAACGGTCACTTCGCTATTTCAGCGATTTCAGGTGCCTGCTCTTTCGTTTGCCATCTTTTGATATAAAAAAAAGCCTATTTTTTATACCCTCGTGTGAAACTATACTTACAAATGATAGATCGGAGCTCTTATAACTGACGCCATCGTATCCGAAGCGTAGTATAAAATTCATAGAGAATATAGAGAAAATGCAACGGACGTCAGTAGTGGCAGGCAAGAAGTATCGATAGGGTCCGCACCAGTACGACACCTTAGGCTCATACTCCACCGATTCAGGGAACTCTTCGCGAGGATTTATTCTGAAAATATCTTACTAATATAAACTAGCTGTCGCCCGCGACTCCCGACGTGCGGAATTAAATAAACATATTCAGTAGCCTATGTGTTCATTTAATTCTGCGCGGATTTAGTCGCGGGCGACAGCTAGCATATTTTTGACATCTGTTGCACCTTGTGCCTCGTCGACCACACAGAAGACACGCCCCAAGTGTGAAGCAATTACAACTACAGTCTGATGAGTTCATTCTGGAGGCCTAATTTTATTCTTTCCCTTACTACCCTTTTCTCATAAGGGTAGGTAAGGGTTGATGGATGAAAGAGAATATGCTCTTTCTATTCACTCTTCTGTCGATTAAAGTTATTCAATGCATCTTAAATTGTGACAGTCTATGTGCATTCGCTGTTTCGGCGAATTAAAGTACTTGTTCGCTCGTTTCCCAATTTAAAATGGCGTGCCTTCGTTACAGCTAAGTGTCAGAACGATTAGTGAGGGGACATAAACGTCGACATTTTAATAAGACTAGTGTTGCGATACACCGGCACAGTGTCGGATTTTCTTCCTAACAATATAAAATATCCATACTTGTAGATGCACTGTGCGTCACTCCAATTATCATCAGAATGGCAGTACAGACCCTGGCTGGGGTCTTTGGCTTGGAATTGTTCTGCGTGAGGACCCACGTACGTTGTCTCTGAATGTCGATGGTAGAAACCGGAGAATGCAAATGCACCTAAATATAAAATAAATCTAAAATCATATCTTTCGTGTGATTATATAAAAGTTTATAATTAGTTTACGAAGTAGAAATTATTTGAAAAATGGAACGTTAAATTCATGGCCGCCATTTTGAAATCGATTTCTGTGTGACAGTTATTTTGTGAAAATTGCTAAATGCAAATGTTTAGATGGATGGATGGATGTTAGTAAGTATTTCAAGAACAGTTTAATTGCTCGCTGAAATACACAGATGCAACATAGCCTGGAAGAACACAAACTACGAATATTTTTTAAAATTTTAGAATATACCATTTTCTTGGTTTCATTATCACAATCTTTGCTATTGTTTTTTAAAACGAATTTTTGTCAAAAGAAAATCACCTCTAAACGTATAGCAATGTGGTTTCCTTTCGCTTGATAATATCATTTGTGCGTCCTCTTGGTTGTGAGCTGAAGCTATGTAGTAAGATGTTCCTAGACATTTGAACTCTGGAAATAATGATTTGGCATTTTCGTATTTACTTGTTGTACAGGAGACCGTGGGAGATCTTCACTTGTATGATAAGCAATAGCTATAAATAGAAATAAATAGGCAAGCCTACCTAATTCTCTACGTCTAAAACATGATATGGAATTTATTCGGTTATCAAATATGAGACGATGAAAGAAAATTATAATATACAAGAGTGTCGGTGGCTTTGGGGTCAAGCATTTAGCTTGCAATCTGCAGGTCCTGTATGTTACATATGTATATTTATCCGACGTTCTTAAGGTGAAGGAAAACATCGTGATGCTGCACATATCAAGAAATTCAAAGATATGTGTGAAGTCAACCCGCACTTGTCCAGCGTGGTTGACTATAGCCTAATCACTCCTTACTTAGGGTAGGCTCCGAACCCCTCGGTGGGGACCTATAGTGAGCTGATGATGATGATGACAAGTTTTGTTAATCAATAATCTTTATATATATAATTCTTCTGTGAGTGTGTATGTCACTGAACTTCTCTCAAACGACTGGAGCGATTTTGATGAAATTTTTTGTGTGTGTTCAAGGGGATCTGGTAATGGTTAGATTCACAATTTTCATCAAATATTAACTTCATATTAATTTATTCAAATTAAGACGTGTAGACAGGACAACGTCTGTCGGGTCCGCTAGTATTTGATAAAGTTTTAATCTGATTTTCATATTGATAAAAGTCAATCTACCACTGGCTCTTAGACTATTTTGTTTATATTGTATTCTGTAATTTTACTATCGTTAATGAAATTAACTAACTCAATAATATATGGTCTTCGTTTGCTTCTGTACTCAGTCTCATGCAAAATATTACTGACTAAAATAATTCTAGGAAATACAGAAAATGTTTACCAGGACTGGCATATAATCCGAATGGTATTTTAGCCTGTGTTGATTTTATTTTAGCTTCGGATGTGTCCATTTTTTTATTGAGTTTTAAAAGTACCATAGACATTAACGCCATGTCTGTCTCGAAGAGTAATCGCTTTAAATCCTTTATGTGCGTGTCTATGAACGTGTAAAGTCTTTTCTGAGCCGTCTCTAGAATCTCACGTCGCTCTATCTGCAAAAGAACACAGAATCATGAACAATTCTATTCGTTAATTAAAAAAAAAATCTGACCATGATATTCAGGGGGCATTTAAGATTAGAATCCTCATTCGTCAGAATCGGATTATTCGTTTATAGGTCAAAAATAGACAAACCCTCATAAAAACTTAGTTCGTATCGAAAGAATAAGATACAAAAAACAGTTGCTTATCTTGTCGCTTAGTGGAAAAGGGGTGTTATTTACCTCTGTTCGTTCTCTGTTCAGAGTGCACATGTTTCTAATATTTTTTTAAGATAAGTTCAATAATACCGTTCACAAATATATTTAGTGTTGTAAATCCACGATCACGCAGAAGACAGGAGCGAAGTGGAAAAATTCCACCTTTCGTCTGATGAGTGTGGTGAAAGAGAAGATTTAAGTCCCCTTTTCTCTTCCCATCCTTTTGTTGATAGGATGGATTTGAAGAAGGAGTAGACGATAGGAAGGTATATCCTTTTCCTATGTGTTTTACGTCTGTGAAAAAGATAAGCATCTGCAATTGTGGATGTCTATGGGCAGAGGTCGCTTCGCTATTTTGGTACATTCAGTTAGCCGCTTGTTTTATCATCTTATGACATAAAAAACTTAAAAGAGATGATTTCAATGTAAGTTTACGTTACCGGATTGTGCGGTTCCTTGATACGGCTGTTCATATAGCTGTAGTACTCCTGCAGCCTTTCGAATTTCTCATCAGCGTAGCTATGCCGTGGGTCTATCTCTTTTACACTCGGCAAGTTGTACGGTTTCTAGTGGAGACGAATATTATGTTTAATAGGCTTTCTTTTACATTAATAGCCAAGGCCCTAGGATTGATTGGAGAGACGTAAAAAGGGAATATGAGATACAGTAGAGAAAAAGTTAATTTTAAACTTCATAAGCTGGCAACACGACTCAAAATTTGACACGAGTTTGAAATAATGCCTGGGTTACATTATGCCAGCACTGTCGAACAAGCGCTGGTCTGGTATGGACTGTTTTAGTGTTTTTAAAATGCAAGGAAGAGTACTTCCAAACACAAGTTTCTATAGGATAAAATGGAATTACCGACACTTGTTAAAAAATTATTTCCTTTATGCCAGTCCAATATATATGAATTTTTCAGTGTTTTTTTTACCTGTAATTTTAAGCATTATCTATTGGTATAATATAGTATTGTTTAAGTTAACATTTCGTAAAGACTTCTAAGAAACAGTCGAAAATACGATCGACGAAATTAATAAGAATTGAAAAAGATCTTGGGTAAGAGATTGATTTAGGGAAAGAGATGTAAAGAGAGAATCGTCAACGCAATTGAAATAGTTAAAATTTGGCGTGAGTTAGAAATAATGTCTGGTGTACATTATGCCCCAGTAGGACAAACGCTGGTCTGGTATGGACAGTTTTGGTATTGTTAACATGACACGGAAGAGCACTTCTAATCACTTCCTTTAGGATTATTTTTTTTCTTTTTTTTTATGTATTTATTTATTTTCCATACAAAAGATTTCACAAAGAATTTTATCTCGCCAAGCTGTAATGCTTAACGGCGAGACGCGCTCGTTATCACAAGAAAACAAAAATGTATTCAATCAACAACATTTACACATACTTAAGGTAAACATTAAACACATAAACATAACCTCACTTTATTACAGATTTGTTTATCGATGAGGACACTTTTTCTTCATCGAGAAACAAGTCTGTCAGCTTTGACTTTAACAATTTTCTGCTTATATCTTGTCTCTGTCTTAGCTTAGCTATTCTATTAAATAATTTTGGTACCATGTAATTAGACGTTCTTTCTCCATAGTAATTCTTTACCTTCGGCTTAACTAATTCTTTGTCATTTACTCTTCGTGTATTATATTTATTTTTTACTAATATTTTACATTCGTCCTTGTAAAAGTATTCTAATCCTAATAGATAATCAATCTTTTGGAAAACCACTTTATATTGAACTTACCGTCTCAACTGTTGGAAACGATAGTCGGGCCAGCTGAAAAGAGCAGATTCATTAGCATCTGTTGTCAAAATTGAATAAAGAAAAAGGTGCATTTGTAGAATCACACTTACCAGTTGGAATGAAGACACATCACCGTTGCCCCCCAACGCTGATGAAAACAGCATCAGGAACTAAAATATAAATTTAACAAAAGACAAAATTAGTCATCAAATACGCACTGGGCCAGTGTGCTTGTCTTAGACTTAGTCAATCTTAATTTTTTTATTTATTTATAGGTTGAACGTTGGAGCCTGTCATAGTATTAACAGACACCGGCGCCTTTCCCGTAAAATATGGGGGTAGACTCGACTCCCTCGTTCGGGATGAACTGACGACTGAGCAAATCAAACATTCAGCCACAGTTGGAACAAATCACACTGGATTTTTGCCCATTACTACTTTGAACTACTATTAAAAATATTAGCCCAATTGGCTCTATGACTATTCGTGAAACAATTCGTCATATTTTCATTATCAAGTCATTGTTTTGTGGTACTAACTTCTAGGTAAATCAAAATAAAAACAAGATCAAAATTAATATTCCTTACCATGGAAGTTTTAAAAAATGTTTTTATTGGAACCATAACTGTGGCCTGTTTGAACGCAGGTTTGATAGACTGTTACTCCAAAGCTTTATAGTTTAGTCATTAATTTTAATTTGATAAAAATTGTAATTGACTATAAAACAAGTGAAAACTAGATCCAGTAACTAGCACTACACACACGCTTTGATAGAAGTTTAATAAAAATTCTAACATGTCTTGTCTCGTTGTCAAAGTTCGTGGTCAAAACTTCATCGGTTTTGTTGTCAGTAGAATATGGAAAAAGTGAACATGCGTGAAAATTTGTTCATGCAACATTTTAGGTTTAGCAAAAAGTATATTAAGCGGCTTTGCCTTGAGCTAAATACATCGACGTCATCGTGGTCGTATATGTGGTGAGGTGGTGGGCAGAATGAAAGATTTTCGTCTTCTTATTATTTTATTTACTGCTTTATAATATATTTTCACTTGCACTCGTTTCGTCTTGCCGTCCTTCCATTGTTCCTTTCACTGTCCAACTTCCGTTCCATTCTGTCCAATCAGTCATTCATGCATCTAAATCTCGGCCATCCTGCGGGTTTGGCTGCCTCTAGCCACCCCCTACTCTCCTCTGACATACCACCACTACATTATACAAAAATATAAATTGAGATATCCCCATACACACAAACGTACAAGAGTTACAATATATCAATCTTACAAATAAAGTTAACCCATCTTATCACATAACACATTATCCTTAACAACAATGATATCCAAAATCTTATAATAACATTTACACTTTTAAATAAACAAACAAAAAATAATAACTTGAATACTGAATAAACAATGTTTTTACTCTGACAGTTATCTTTAACAGTTAATAGTTAACTCCTGTCCTTAAAATATTATAATCATACAAGAACCTCTTTATTTTTACATGAGATAACTACAAATATAGGACATCTTAAGATTATAATTGTAACTGCTATCTGACTTCTTTTATCTTATACCTTATATTATCTGGAAATAGATCTGCTACTCTAAATATTTAAAAACAAACAATATAAACAAAACTCTCTCATACATTCATACATTAGTTGACAATTCATTCGCTATCTTCCTCAGGCCATGGTTTCATGTAGTCTGCCGCTGTTGATGACTGATGAGGTCCTTCTGTCTCGCTGTAAACCTTCTGTACATCATATCTGTTGTTACGTTTGACTTTATTTTGTATGGACCAAGATACTTTGGCTTTAAATTCAAACCTGGGCCAAATTGTGTACTTTTAATTGCTACATGATCTCCAATGTCATACTTTGAACTTTCCTTTCTCTTTTAATTAAAATTCCTTATGTTTTCTTCTTGAATTCTTTGAATTTGTTGTTTGGCATTCTGCCTTAAATTTTCTCTATCTTCATTGTATTGTATTATGTTCTCTTTTTGCAATAAATTTACTAAATCAATATCTTGCTTACACTTCATCTTGGTACCTGTTAACAATTGAAATGGTGAAGTATCAATGCTTCTGCAGTATGTACTGTTAATTGCTTTTTGGACCTTACCTATGTGCTTGTACCACGCTGATGGATCTTCGATGCATAATTTAGTTAATACTGGAATCAATATGCGATGAATTCTTCTTACTTGTCTTAGCACTCCTGTAGTAATCATAACATGTTGGATACCTTCATCTTCGCAGTATGTCTTAAAACTTCCACTGGTGAACGCTGTACCTTTGTCCGTTATTATTCTTGTAGGATTTCCAAAAGTGTGCTGGTGAATTTGTAATTTACTTATAACTTCTGTACTGGATGTCGAATTGGTAGGATACAACCATACAAACTTTGTAAATGCATCAACCACTGTAAATATATGATTATATAGCTTTTTTGTTTCCGTTAATGGACCTATATGCATCTGCATGTAAAGTATGTAATGGAATTCCTTCTTTCTCAATTGGGTTCAGAAAACCTTCCTGTTTACCTTCTTTTCTGGTCGCTAACAAACAAGGTATGCAAGCTGTTATTACATCTACTATTTTCTTATCCAGATTTCTTATAAAACAATCCTTACTTATTGCTTCTTTCATCTTTTTCATGGCAAAATGACCATTGCTATGAATTTTAATTACTTCTTTTTCCAAGACTTTTGGTACTACTATTTGACGTTGATCTCCTTTGTATAGTATTCCATCCTGTAAATAAAAATCATTAAATTTTCCATCTTTCGAAATCAATTGTATTATTGAATTAAGTTCATCATCACTTGCCTGTGCTAGGCGAATCTTATCATGTAAGTTTACTATGATTGCTACATACGGCATTCTGCTAAGAGCATCTGTGTATGGCATCTTACAACCTACTCGGTGTTCAATTTGATAAACATATTGATCTAACAGTAGAACCCACCTTGCAACTTTTGCAGTTAAATCTTTCTTTTTAAGAGTCTGCTGAAATGCTTGGCAATCTGTTATTATCTTGAATTTAATACCAAATAAATAATGAAATTTCTTTACACCTTCTACTATAGCGAGTGCTTCTAGCTCATAACTTGAATATTTACTTTCTGCCTCGTTGGTTCTTCTACTTCTGTAATACACAGGATGTAATTGACCATCTACATGTCGCTGCATAAGAATCGCTGCAACTGCCTGACTAGATGCATCTGTGTGCAATTCAGTTGGTAACCTTTGATCAAAAATTCTAAGTACTGGCTCACTTGTTAACTTCTGCTTTAAAATATTAAATGCTTTACTCTGTTCATAGCCAAATGCAAACTTTACATTCTTCCTTAATAAATCCGTTAGGGGTCTTGCTATCTTAGCATAGTCTTGTATATATTATATAACCGTTTCGTTCTTTGATAGTAGTCCCACGACATTTTGGATTGCTAGCGTTCAGGGTGTGGTTCTTAACGCTCAAACGGCCCTGAGAAGGTGGTTTAGCTTAAACAGGTGTTCACGCTATTATGCGTGGCGTAAGACTGATCTTTATTGTGTTAAAACATATAAAGTTGATTATATAAACAAAGAGTTCTTATTCTCTACTTATCGCTAAACATTAAGGATGTTGATATAATGGCTTCCTTAATGGATCTAAATGTGATGCGCGTGTCTTGTGGGCTACTTGTAGATTATGCCTACCGAGCGGCAGCAGAGGTCGCCAACGTCACGCGCTGACAGCAGGTTTCTAGGGCTGCCGCAGATGTCATGGCCGCAATATGCCCCCGGCCTTGGAAGCACCTGCTTCCAAAGAAGACGCAGTGAGGTCATCCAGCAGTGGGCAGATTTTGGAGAAGGCACGTCGAGTCACTCACGAAGCCGTCCGAATGTTTGCCACCCTCGTGACGCCGTCCTTCCCTGAATAGGTCGCTTCGATGCGACCCAAGACCCATCTGAGTGGCGGAGTGTTTTCGTCCTTTATTACGACTAGTGTTTTGGATTGAAGCGAACTCTGGTTGTGCTTCCATTTGTTACTGGTTTGTAGTTCTGAAATATATTCTTTCGCCCATCGCGCCCAAAATTGTTGACGGATCTGCTCGAGTCGTTGATATCTGTTGTTGTGACCGCACCAGATGATGTTTACATGATTTTACTCCAGCCTCCCAAAGGCCACCAAAGTGGGGTGAATATGGCGTAATGAATTTAAATTTAATGGTATTGGAAGTTGCGTTATCTTTTATATGCGAAGCACAATTATATCTTAATTTACTAAATGCGTTCATTAGTCCTACGAAAGTCAAAATTGCAAACATCATCAACAGAAGACATCATGGAGTGCGAAATTTTTTAAAAGATCCCGAAAACTATGGTAAGAAAAAACGGATAGGTCGACAGATAGTATCTACACCATGAGAAAGAAGATCAATACTAAAACGACTTAGGGTCCTTCAAGAAGCGAGCCTATCACCACCTCAAAAGCCGGCAACGCATCTGCGGTTCCTCTGGTATTGCTGATGTCCAGGGGCGTCGTTGAACACTTCGGTGTTCCCGCTGCTCGTTTGCCCCTTCTGTTATAAAAAAAAATCAATACTAAAAGTTACGTCCAATACCGCTTACCGCAAGGCAAATTGCATCGGATGCTGGTGTTAGTACTAATTTCAAAAATGTTCAACGTATTATACGCGAGTCATCTGTTGGAAATGTAAACAATCAATGAAAGAGGTTAAATAGCGACATTGACAACTGTCAGTTTCAGGAATGTTTAAAAATAAATAGATTCGAATTAAGAATTCGTCTTTTGTCTACCTAATGTGTCTTTAGTTTCAGTTCAGTTTAAACTGGTAATAAATCTTTACCACTAACAATGCGTTTTGTGCATAACTCATCAGGTTATGAGTCCAGGGCGCGTAGTAGTTAATTATTTAATTTGGCAATAAAACGTATTGCCTGAGTGACTAAATTATCTCCGTTCGTCGTTGCTAAGTTAGTGTAAACCATATGATTATGATCCTTTGATCATGGCCCTCGAGAACTCAAGTACCAAGTTGAGCTGTGATGATGTCAAGGCCAAGTTACTCTAGGAGTATGAGCGGCGTGGTCACAAGACTGAGAAAGTGACAGTTTTAGCCGTAGCTACTAAAAAGCAACTCGAGTGCTTTAGATGCAATAAGCCTGGGCATTTTATTAAAGATTGCACTACGAGCTTCAAGAAGAGGAATCTGAATGAGCCGTCCTTAAAAACTATGTTGACCGCACTGTCAGCATGTATCTAGCGTGATGTGTCGTATGTGGTCAGTGGGGCGATCGTTCACATGTGCAACAACAAAGGTATTATACGAGTATGTGATTTTATCAAAAGTAAACAATCACAAGTGAGTGTTGCAAATGGTGAGAAAATGTGGTCATTAGGTCAAGGTAATGTCAAATTAAATTTAAAAGATTGTACTAGGATAATTAAAAATTTGCCCGCCTGTCCGCGTGTGCATGTGTGCTCAACCTGCCCTTAACCCTATAGAGGGAATCTTTAGCTGGATTTCAGCGTTAGTCCATTTTGTAATCTCCTCCACAATTTCAACAGTAATAAACATACTAAAACATTCTAAAGGCTCATAAAGGCATTTATTCATCCGATTGGGACCCCTAGATGTCCGTATAATATTAGCAGATGATATTCTGCCACTTGTTCTGCCTTTAGTGGCCGTCCAACGATGATCGTTTTTGTCTCTAAGAATTTGACGCTGTGGCAAGATAACTCGGCACACTTGGCGAAGCACTTTCAGAAGGTACAGACTCATTTTCTGACACATCTTCAGCATTCTGTCAACTGTCATTATTAATATGTCACATTCCCTTTCTTTTTACAGAGTGATTTTTTTAATGATAATAAACAAATGAGACAGTTATATTAAAAGACAATGCCCATTTATTAGGCTTTATTCAACTTAAAATTAGAAGTAAGTAAATGGCATAATGATTGACACAACATGTCAATTTAAATATACTATAGCTATCATTTCTTTTTCAATTTGCGCCCAGCGCGACTCCGGCGTGGTGAGCTTGCCTGCCGCGAATGCCACCGGCCGTCCGTCCTGCAGCAAGCACGCGCCTTTCCCTTGCGCTTGAATCCACTGTCAACGTTACGGCCTCTTTGGGATTGTGGAAACGAAGGGTCGGTGCCCTAGCTATCTGGTCCTTTAGTGCGTTAAGCAGTCTGTCGTGTGATTTATTGCACTGAAAGTCGACGTTACTTTGTATTAAATTGTGAAGCGGTTCAACTAATTCTACATACTTGGGTATTAATCTCGATAAATAATTAGACATTTGTAATATACGCTCTAAATCTTATTTATTAGTAGGAGACGGCACATTTTGTATTGCCTTAACGCGGTCGGTGTCCAGCCGCATGCCTTTCTCGCTGAACGTGTGTCCCAGGTATTTAACCTGCGTGACGCCGAACATGCACTTATCGCGGTTGAAACAAACGCCGAGCTCTGCCGCGCGCTACTAGCCGCCGGCTATGCTCCTCACTACTACTTCCATACACTAGCAAGTCATCTACGAATATTTCGACACCCTCCATCGCGAATATTTCCACATGGCATTGTGAAATACTTCAGTGGCCGAGCAAACACGTCTATAATATGCCCGCGACCATGAGCTACCTTCCCTTCAAAGTCCTGTTAAAATCAGTCCAACCATTCTAGAGATTGTTCTGAACAAATGCGACCTTGCGACCGGACAGACAACAGACAAAAATTTAAAATAAAAATAGATTTTTCATTATTATTAACGCAAATACAATCACATGGATATATGATATATTTTATTAATAACATAAAGGCACTCCAATTTTATTTATATGAATAGATAGCAATTGTATGTAGAGATATATTTGCTATTTAGTTTGAGAATAAACTATATTTTCGCAACATCACTTACGTTACGAAAACGTAGTTTTATTTCAAACTAAAGTTCAAAAGCTATATAAGATACGAAAAGGATTTCTTTCTGTGCGTCAACTCATCGTTCCACTAAATACTTCTCGTTCAATTATGCAGTCGTGTAGATGCGCGGCAGTCACTTTGCTATATCTGCGAATTCGGATGGCCGTTATAATGTAACAAAAATTAAAATTGTTTCAATATGTAGTTATTTATACTCTTTGGTTAGACAGTTCATTCACCTGTACTATGTCTTTGTCTAATCTATGCCGATCATCATTCACCAATCTTCATTTAGCATTTTTTTCATTTGATTTCACCGCCTGCGCCTGGTGCTTATTTTGTTCTGGTCCGTGATCATCCCCTCTGTTCTGATTCTGCATTGAATTATCATTGTCTTATCAATTTCCAATTTCAAGAGTAGTATAAAAAGGTCAAGTAAGTGTGGTGTCCATTATTACCGTTGTCTGTTCTTTCGTTGTCAGATCTGAAAAAATTGTTGATTCGTTAAAATTTTGGATAAAACAAAAGCTACTTTGATTTTTATATATTATTGTGTGGTATTTTTCTGATATTGTTGGCATAATGGTGAAGTCTTGTTCTACCTTGTTTTTGAAAAATATTTCTTAGCAAATTATGTCAA